TCTCTCTCTCTCTCTCTCTCTCTCTCTCTCTCTCTCTCTCTCTCTCTTTCTCTCTTTCTCTCTCATACACGCGCACACACACACACACATTGTGCCCAGATTACAACCCCTAGAGAGAGACCACCAGAGAGGCCCAGACTATAATAAGCAAGGTTTAATCAGCATAATACAAACATGTTTGGAACTTATCTCCACCCCGTTACAAGAAGGTAGAGAGGAGTTGTATCTCCTCTGTGGGGTAAGCTTTTAAAGGTTTAACTGCAAAGAGAATCTTTGAAGATGCTTTGGCATGGATACAAGGACTTTTGCTCCCTCCCATTCTGTTAAGTCAGCTTTTTTCTTGTTTTTAGAGCAAGGCCACTGTTCTTGAGTTAGGCCATCTTTGTCAGCCTGTACCAGGTGGCTGGCTGGGCTGAGCTAAGTGACCTTGTGCTCAGAATATCCTGGGTGGGAGAGGAAAAGGCCATTATCTTCCTAGGAAAACATTCTGCTAGGAAATTTCTTCTTGCCCCTTTGAGAATAAGGGGTGAGGGTCACACACACACAAACACACACATACACACACACACACACACACACACACACACACACACCAGAAGCCATCTGGTGTGAAGAGCTACACTTCAGCACCTTTATCACACTTTTTATTAAATCTATTTCTTTGTTTTACTTCCCAACCAGAGTTTATCCTCCCTCCTGTCATCCCATTTCCTCCCCCTACCTCTCCTCAGCCCCCTTTCCCAATCCTTTCCAGCTATGTTTCTATTTAGAAAGGGGCAGACCTCCCATGAGTGTCAATAAAGCTTGGAATATCTAGTTAAGGTAGGACTAAACTCCTCCCCTTGAATTAAGGCTGAGAAAGGCAAGCCAGTATGAAGAATAGGTTCTCAGAAGCCAGGCAAAGCATTACAGGCAGACCTTGCTCCCATGGCTATGAGTCCCATAAGCAGGCCAAGCAACACAACTGTCTCACATATATAGAGGGCCTCCATCAGTTCCATGCAGGCTCCTGGCTGTTGGTTCAGACTCTGTGAGCTCCTATGAGCCCAGGCTACTTTTTTCTGTGGGTTCCCTTCTGATGATGTTGATCATCTGGTTCGTACAATCCTTTCTCTCTCTCTTTAGCAGGATTCCCCAAATTCGGCCCAGTGCTTGGCTATGGGTCTCTGCATCTGTTTGCATCAACTATCGATGGAAAGGTCTCTGATGACAATTGGGGTAGTCACTAATCTGATTACAGGAGATGGGCAGTTCAGTTTACCTATCTAATTGCTAGGAGCCTTAACTGGGGACATCTTTGTAGATTTGTGGGAAGTTTCCCTTGCTTTCTTCAATGGCATACTGTCTAGACTGTTTTGGGTTTTTTGTTTTGTTTTGTTTTGTTGTTTTTGCTTGTTTGTTTCTGGAGTCGGGGTTGTAAAAGCCTTCAATGCCTCTCATTCTCAACTATGAATCTGGAGTCATTGCTATTACTGCAACAGAAGCTTCCCTGCCCACAACAGCTAGTGACAGCAAAGATCATGAAATTTCACCAGGTTTACCATGGCTACATGGACCACATACATCCACATGGCCTCTGGCTATCCCACAGAAGATAAGCTCAACATTGTCCCTGGTGACAGCATGGATCATGGGCCTCATCATGGCCTCTGGCTGCAGCAGGGTCCATGGATATCAACACAACCCCAGCAGAGCTCATGAATACCAATATATCCTCTGGAAGCAGCAGAGATTATGAAGATCCACATAGCCTCCGGCTGCACAATCTAAGACGATGGACCTCAGCACGATTAAGATCTTTTAAGATGAATCTTGCAAGGAAAACATCTAGCTGAATATCTCCCAGTTTATGAAAATAACTTCTAATATTGACAACATCAATATGAGATCCTTCAAACTGCTTTGTGGGTAGGTTTAGGGACTGTACATGTGTGTTACAGAGCATTGCCCTGTTTGAAAGAGTCTGTTTTTGCTGCTGCATTAGCCAAGCTAGCTGGCCCTAGATAGTCAGAAGACTCTCCAGTCTCCTCTTCCCATTTCCACACTGGGGCATGTTGGGGTCACTGAGAAATTCATTTCTGTGTCTGACTTTTATATGGAATATGACAATTCACACTCAGTTCCCGAGGCTTGCTCAGCAAGCATTTTTACAAACGGAACCACCTCCTCAGCATCTTTAACCAGTCTTGATGAGCTAGCTATGAGTTGTAATGGGTGCACTATTTCCATCCCTTTGCAGTTGTATCCTAAGAGTAAACATTTCCCGATGCTCGCAATTCAAGAATTATTGCATGGTCTCAGCATTATTGAACAGCAGTTTAGAAAAGCAGAGATTTGTGTAAGTCTTAAATAATACATGGTACAGTGGTGGTTTCATTTCCTTCTGCCTTGATGTCTTTAACTTTGAAATGTAAGTTGTGAATGAACAAGATAAGGTATGAAAATAATTATATTTTGACATGGTCTGCTCAATATGGAAGATATGCTAGCTAGTATTTTTACAGAGACTTATTGAATAAAACATACACCAACTCAAGGATCGGCCATCAAATTATAAACCTAATCATGGGTGTGCAAGCCGGTCTTCCATTGTAGATTGCAGACTAGTTTCAATTTTCTTTTTAAAGTTTTCAGTAGGCATCTAAAGCATACACATTATTTTCTGTTATTAACTTGTTAATGCCTATAACTAGCATGCATGTTTATCTGACTTACACTGTTCACCAATCTTTTCCAGAATGACATGAATTACATAGCCTCCAGTGGACTCTTATTTAAAGATGGCAAAAAGCGAATTGATTACATCCTGGTTTATCGGAAGACAAACATACAATATGACAAAAGAAATACATTTGAAAAGAACCTGAGAGCAGAAGGCTTGATGCTGGAGAAGGAGGTACAGGCTTTTCCATTATCAGTATTTTTTGACTAATATTCTGGTATAGATACTATCAATCATACTTTAGTATATATGGTCCATGCCATGGAAATTAATGAATTATACTCATTTTTCCAAATGTGAAATAAATAGATATGTACTGTCCCATTTAATTATGTATTTATTTTTTTCCTCTATGTTTTTCTGTACATATAAAATATTTTTTCAAAGAATGTGGCAACTTTTCTAGTTTTGAAAAACAAATATGTATAGATTATGCCCATGTAAACTAGAAAATCCTATGATAAGAGAGCGAAAAGTGATAGAAGTTTGGTCAAGCTGCTGAAACGCAAGTTTGATTGATGGCCTCGACCATCCTCTTTCTTCCATGCTTTCATGAGTCTTTTTAAAGAACTATTTATTCCTTCCCATCTGGTAAAACAACAAAAGGATTAAGGTCTCTGAAAAAAAGAACATAGAAAAGAGGAAATACATACTTCTCATAGGTCTATGATGTTAAAATTGCCACTTTTGTTATTTTAGTTAGCCTATGGTTCACTTTGTTTTGTAAACATCTATTTTACTGAATTTCATTATGAGTACCAGTGACTGGATATGTACACGTGAGTGCAGGTGTTGTTGGAGGTGGGAGGTGTTGGGTTCCTTGGACCTGGAACTACAGGCCGTTGTAAGCCACACAACACTGGTGCTGGGAACTGAAATAGTCCTCTGAAAGAACAGTAACCTTTTTTAATCAGTGAGGTACCTCTCTAGCTAAAACTAAACAGTTTTGAAATGGGAGCATGAAAAATGCTGTTAGGTCTTAAAATAGTATTAAAAACACAGTGGTTGAGCTATATTCCCAGAATCTATGAAAACAGTTTTCAGAGACAGCAGTATAAATAGGCTAAGTTTTCATTCCTAAGTGGAATTGCACCACTATTCTTTTTTTAATATTTTATGAAATTATAATAAATCACATCATATCACCTCTTCTCTTTCCTCTCTCCAGTCCCTCCCATTCGTCCCTTGTACTGTGTCACATCCATGGCCTCTTTCTTTTTAACTGTTATTATACACTCACACACTCTCACACACACACATAAACACACACACAGCTAAATATATAAATTCAACCTAAAAATACAATTTACAAATACATTGGATAATAGTTTCGTACTCCCTAATATGCATTACTCAAAAATTTAATTCTAAGACATGGTTTTGGGAATGAAAAAATGAAAGGGATGGGATCAGAGGGTACCAGAACAGTATCTCTGAGTCCCAAGCAACACGTTGCTAAATCTTAGAAAATTGTCCCTATTGCTTGTAGTGGGTTTTTGGAACCCATTCTCTTTGGATGAATACCTTGTTCAGCCTAAGTATAGTAGGGGGAGCCTTGGGCTTTCCCCAAAGCAATGTGCCTTACCCTCTCTGAGAAGTGGATGGGGGGAAGGGTGGGGGAAAAGTGTGAAATGAGAGGAGGGGAGGGAGTGGAAACTGGAATTCAAACATATTCATTATAAGTATATGAATTGAACTTGGAGCTGAGTACTTGGTATTAGATAACTAATTGGGGGTTCTTCCCTGAATCATATTTTATCACATTAGAGAAAGACAAACCCCTAATATTAAATAAACAAACAAATGAAAAGCCAAGAAAATGGGTATCAAGGCCAATGTTCACATTGCTACCCAGACAAATGTCTTTTCCTTTACAGAATTTCCTAATAACTGGTTTCCTGCTGGCTGCCTCTCAGCATGTTTTATGCACATAAACAAATTACTAATGTTTCTACTATGGTCTTAGCTCCTTGACTCTGCAGAATATCAAAACATACAAATTTAGTCAGCCATTTTTTAGCTGGTTAAAATTTCAATATCTTAACAGTTAACTTGTAACTGTTGTGTTTTAACTTGATTTTTAAAATGCTAAGCTAAATCAAAATGCTGAGGTAATTTTCTTTTTGTGAATTTCACAATTATATTTTTCTTAACAATTTAATAATATTTCAACTTACAAATATATGACATTTTTATTATACATTCATCAGTTGCAGAAGGTTAGTATCTAGAATATACAAAGAACTACCAAAAGCTAAATGTTAAGAAAATAAACAACCCTATTTTTAAAAATGGGACATAGCAACAGTCCTTCATAGAACCTTCATTCAGTAACTGATGGGAGCTGATGCAAAGGTCCATGGTCAAGAACTGGGCTGAGTTCCAAGAGTCAAGTTGAGGAGAGGGAGGAGGGAATATTTTTTATTTTATTTTATTTTTTTAAAAAATAAAGCAAATTATCTTTTTTCATTTTACATATCAATCCCAGTTTCCATTCCCTCCCCTCCTCTCATTACACCCTTCCCCCCACCCTTCCTCCCATCTACTCAGAGAGGGTAAGGTACACTGCTTTGGGGAAAACCCAAGGCTCTCCCTACTATATCTAGGCTGAACAAAGTATTAATCCAAAGAGAATAGGTTCAAAAAACCCACTACAAGCAGTAGGGATAATTTTCTAATAAGATTTAGCAAAGTGTTGCTTGGGACTCAGAGATACTGTTCTGGTACCCTCTGATCCCGTCCCTTTCATATTTCATTTCCAAAACCATGTCTTAGAATTAAATTTTTGACTAATGTATATTAGGGAGTGCTAAACTATTGTCCAATGTATCCTTAAATAACTGAATTTATTAGTATGTGTTAAAATTCTTTTAATATGTATAAAAGAACAGAAACATGCTGAGTTCACAGTGAGAAGTTTATTTACACACTGCCAAATGACACAGAACAGGGAGAGCAAAATTCTGATTTTAACTTTTCATCCAATATTCTTCTTATTTTACCTGGGACTGTTAACGCAGAATATCTCTACTCCTAGTTACTAAACATATAAAAATGTATTTATTGAAAAAAGATTCCTATGGAGTGTAATGATTCAGGTGATTTCTTTGGGATTTTTACATCACACACGTGAGAGCCAATACTTCCTAACATCACCTATTTACTCTCTAAGTAATCTTACAAACACCGAACACGCTTCAAGGGAACCCAATATTTATAGAAACCCAAATAACTGTGTGTACTGATACCCACCTGTGCAGAAACCAGACATATGCACAGGTATCCTAACAGATAAGATTGCTGCTTCTCTCTGTTCTGTTGAGTCTTCTTGGCCAAAGTTCAGATGTTGTTGAGTCTTCTTCCTTATTCCTCTGAATTACTACAAAGAAAAATTCCATGATGCAGTAAAAAGACAGTTATGTTCCATACTGAAAGGGATGTTTCTTTATTCTTGTGGTTTCAAGTTGTTTACATTGGCACACAGCAAGATCGAGCCCTCTGATTCCTGTTATTCCTGGACAGAGGATGTTCTACTCTAGGTTACATGATTATGGTTTTCTCAACTAACTTTCACTTTTTTCTGATTTGATACACACTAAAGAGCTAGGAAATCTGGGTCAGTAGGTGAATCAATTTACCTATATCATTGGACCTGCTACCTCTGCACACTATAGCCATTATACTAGTAGTGCTATTTCCTCTTTCTTCTCTAGCATTTCCCTATTAAAGTAAATGTTTGGTTGTTGATTATGAGAATGGTGGAAAATATTTGGGGAAACTCATTCCTCCATATTTCATCTTACTAGTGTTAAATCTGAAGTGGGTGTTTTTTATAATTCCTCCTCTGCAAATGCCTCATGAAATATGATCTGGACAACACTAAGAAAGTCTGGTTGTGTTTCCAAGAGAGAAGAAAAACCATGGTGGGGTACAAAGTGATGTGAAGATGCAAGGAGACAGAATATAGAGAGAGGAGTTTTTAGTTGTTAGTAAATGTTAACAACACATAATAGATTTCATTAGGATATCAAATGTGGCTGTAACATAATAATCCAGTTGTGGAGTGTCATATTGAATGTTTACATACCCGGGAATTATAATGGACATGTACAGCGAAGAGTGGAGATTCTAAGGGCCCTTCTACATCACTACTATTACAAACATCAGCACTCCGCATTCTCCTGCTAACCAAGAGGCTGAGAAGATAGAATGTAACTGAATATATTTTGAAATAAAATCCCATGATGATTAAAAGCCCATTGGTAGGAAAATACTCTCAGCTCTCTCAAATATCAAATCCAGTGTTTTAAGGTTAGTAACACAGAACAGTGGTAGAGCCCTCACATACCCTGAGTGCTCAAGGCTGTCAATTTAGTGACCAGCACTCACCCATTAAATTTTTTTCAGTATTATGAACATTTAAAACATTGATTAGTCTTCACAGTTTCTCCTATTAAACACTATGGACATCGGATGCAATTTTTCTTTATAAATATTAAGTTGGAAATATTTAGGGCTTGTTTGATGAAGGGATAAGCAGTTGTGCAAAAATATCAACAGTCATGAATTTGCTAGCTAAAATATGGCAGCTAGAAAATCTGTTTTATAAATAAATATGCACCACAGCTAAACACTGAGTCTGGCAGAGAGGTCTCAAATAGTCGTTAAACTGTGTGCCAGTGTGAACAGGTTCTAGAGGAAAGTGTCATCTAGGGACGCTGTGTATTTAAGGGGCATCCTTGTGCACAGGAAGGTGCTGGTCACTGTGAGGTCTGTCTCATAATCCAGTTCATACAAACAATATACTTTGCTCCCAGTTGTGGAAAATGCCTTGAGAACCCGCATACACTTTCCTTTGTTCTATATCCAAATCATACAAAATAACCTCGTGAAAACAGAATTTCTCAGTCTCCTCTTCACCTGGGAGTAAATGTTCTTCCCCTTGGGAATTTTAGGTGGAATAATTAAGTAAAAATGAGAAGTGTGAAGGTTGTGGGCGTTTTGTTTCAGTGGAGGTGAGCAGAATAGACCCAGATTGGCAGTTCGTGCTTCTAAAGAAGAAAGTGATTTCTCCCCCGACAGCACCATCCTGTCACCCATAGCATCACCTGACCTGCTACCAGCAGAGAAGGAAGCCAGTTGTCTTTTGTGTGGTCAAATGGTGACAAAACAAAGGAGAAGTTATGTTGAGAAGTAATAAACAATATTGATTCACCCTGGTGAAAACAACCTTTCATTTATGTATGTACATTTACAGCTAAGGCATGGAAATGAGATACATTTTCGCTGTGTGCACTTAGCCTGGCATTTTACCCAGAGATGGTAGTCACTGCAATGCAAAACCCCTCCTTCCAAAGCAGCCCTTTATTTTAGGCGATTAGATTATTTCACATCAAGAGCTTGACAGCAATGAATTAAGAACCTGCATGAGGCAAGCTGTTCTCAGTGCTATTTTGGATCCTGACACAGTGCCCCACTGCAGAAAATGAGACTCTTTGCCATTTCCTGTTTTCCTTCTCTCTTGTTCAGGTGTAAGTTAGACAAAATATAGACTCAAAATAACTTAGCTAACCAGGCATGGTGGAACACATTTGGAGTCTCAGCTCTCAGGATACTGTGGCAGAAGGATCCTGAGTTAAAGGCCAGATGGGTCTACACAACTAGTTCCAAACAGATCCAGGCTACATTGTAAGATCCTATCTGAAAATAATTGAGCATAATAATAACAAAATAACAAAGATAACAGTATGTAATAAAGATAACAGTACATAAAACAGTGCATCTTTTCTGTGCATCATCAGTGAATCTGATACAGAATTAGATGCATGGATATACACGTCATTTGGCTTCTCTTGTAGCACACAGTAGGGAAACACTATAGGAAAGAGAGGAAATTGCCACAAGAGTTAGACAATGAGTGTGTTGGAAATGGTGTAAATAAGACAGCAGTGGTATCCTATCTATCGATGGAGCTGTTTTTAAATAGTAGCTGCAAACAAAGGTAAACTTTTCCTCAAACTAACATTTATACAAACATAATTTTGTTTTTAAAGTTTATATTCAATATATATTACCAGAGAAAAATACCAATCTATTTATCATATATTTTGATTTAAGACTCTGTACATCAGTTGCGTTGATGTGAATTTTGATTTTGTTTGTTTTTATGGGTTTTTTTGCTTTTAATTTTGAATTTACCAGTCATGAGTTGTTCCTGACTTTATGCTTATATTACCACAAATTCTGGAAATAAAGATATTCGAAATCAAGATACAAGCTCCATCACAGAGGAACTAGGTAACTACTTACAGAGGAGCAAAAAGAAAGATGGATCCTGGGGATGCTTTATAGTTCACCTTTGTTTTTAACATCTGATTTGAGATGAATACTGTCACCTGACAGCCACACCTAGTCAGGAGCAGGTGCTTCACGCAGTCAGGTTATAACTTCCCTCCTTCAACTCAGAGGCAAGGGACCTTCATTTTTCTTTGGACAAAAAAAAAATTGAGATTCAGAGGGCCAACAAATTATCCAAATGTTGCAGAGATAGCAAAGGGTACAGAGAGACTATGTTGCTGAGTATCTGGGACCTAAACATCATGCCAAAGGGGTAGTCAATATGGAAGGAATGTAAGCTCTGCTCTGCAAGTGAAAGACTGGCTGATGCAATTAGAATAGCAGGAATCTTAACATCAAAACTGAACTCGGACCTTTATTAACACCTAAGAATAACTTCGTATAGATAAGGCCAAAATGTTTAATAGAATGTGAAATGTGTCTACCTCTTGTTCTGTGTGGGAATCCTTTAAGTGGAAAGCTTAAGTTCTCTATTTTAAATTTGCATTTATTTATTTATTTTTATTTTGCTGCATAGTGCTGAGGTTCAAATACAGATCTGGGACATGCTAAGCATGTCCTCATTAGTTCTATGGGAGTTCTAGCTGCAAAAGTTTTTGTTATTGCTATCATGCCTACACAGAAACCTTTCCATGAAGTCTGGAAAAGTCATTACAAAGGGCCAGGAAATGTCAACGTGATAACTTTCTCTTTAACCTTAATCAATAACAGATATCTATAGGAATTAGAAATATGCTTAAGTACTTATTTGAATGAATAGGTAGTGCTTGTAACAACCGTATATAGTTTGCAACACTAATAGACTCACGTGCATGTGTGTGTGTGTCTGTGTGTGTGTGTCTGTGTGTGTGTGTGTAAAATGATGATATTTATAAAAGAGAAAGGGTCATGAATTTGAGATGCAGGGGTGCCAAAGGAGTTGGATGAGGAAAGGACTGTTGTAAACTTTATAAATGCATGAAATTCTCAAAAAAACTAACTTAAAAACTATGGCTATCTTTCCGAGAATAGGTAATATGTTTAGTGTAGGACTGAATGTAAAGACCTATAGAAGCGTACCTTGCTATGTCCACCTCTGGCATGGTCAGCTACAACTTTTAGAATATTTACTTTTAAAAATAGTTACAAACATTTTCAGCAGCAGAGTTGCTTCAGAAATTATGTTCGCATGAGAGTGAGTATCTTTTGTTGTTTGTCCTGGGACGGTTTTCACAATGCCATCCCTTCAGTAAGCTCATAAATCAAGGGCATCTTATAATTTCAACAACTCATTTTCCTCAAAATAAAATCACTGTACCCAGAAAATAGTTAGAGGATTAGACAGTTTCTTCAAAATAAATGTGGCAGTAGAATAAATGGATTAATTGGGTAAAGACTCCGGATGATTTTCAGTGTTTTATGCTATCTCTGGGTGACGGCGAGGGTCTTGATTATGTGACATGAAGAATGGCTCGAAACTCTTACTTGTCTTATAACTTCTCTGAATGGGGAATAGAGATTTTAATAATGTTTAATATAAGAAAATTAATAAATTGGTAGCGATATCTCTTTCCTATACACAGTAACTGAGAAAGGACCCACTAGTCCTTGTACTTGGTAAGCAACTGTGACATCACATTTTTGGGAAAGGGAAGACTTTGTTGAGGATCTGTCATCAAGAAGACTTCAAATGTGTCCTTTCAAATGGCGGAGACTGGGAGAATACATAGAGGGGTGTGAAGAGAGAAGTTTGTTGTTGATTTGATGAGGAGAAGCGAAAACAAAGCTCTTTTATGCAGGCAGAGATAAATGCAATGCCTATTCATGGGTCACGTGTTTCCTTCTAGCAGAGCTATCACGTTCTGTGTGGGAATTCTGGCTCTGTGTTATCTAAAGACTTGTTTGTGATTAAGAACTTTTTTTCTGAACGTCCATCAGCTTTCAAACCAACTTTGAATTTCCTTTGAAGGCATTTCCCTACAAACAACTTCCAGACACTTTGTATTTAGGAAGTTTATGGGGTATCTACGTTTACATTTCTTAATGGCATTGGATATTTAAATACATTTTATCAAGATTTTTTGACAATATAATTTTCCTTTATATAAGTAAGAATGATCCTTGCATAACAACAGACAGAAATGCTTCTTTCTTTGAGGAAAAAATGATGGTAGAATGTCAGCACTTTTGATTGTAAATGATGGTGCCTCCCTGCTAATTCCTTTCCAGCCAGCTATTGCAAACCCCGATATCATGTTTATTAAAATTCATATTCCATGGGACACGCTGTGCAAGTATGCAGAGAGACTGAACATCAGGGTGCCCTTCAGGTACTTTTATATGTTATTTCATTTTCTCTCATTATTATTAAGATGACTCTGTCTTTTGTAACACCCAAAAGCAGTAAATGTGGTCCTTTATTCAGAAAAAAATTATTTCTCTTCTAAATTTTAAACTATATTAGACAGTTTTTCCCCTAAATTGTTTGGCTATTGTGGTAAGCTTTCTGATTCCTTGGACATATAATATCATTTTAAGATAGACTTGCTTAGAGATAAGGTTACATAATTGTTTTCAGATTTCAACTTGAAGTAACTCCCAAGATCAATCCTCATTCTTATTTCATGTGAGTGTAATATAACTCTGATAATGGTTAGCAGGGATTGTTTTTCATACCAGGTCATCCAGGACAGTTTCTGAGCTCTGGCCTCAATATCAATCAGTAAGTGATAAGAATAGATCACCTTCTTTCAAGGATTTTCAGTCCTTCTGTTGGGCAAAGAAATATGTTGGCCTAGCTTGGGCATCTGCTATTTGATGCCGAATGTGCCAGTTCCTCATCATGTCACACTGTAGCTTTTAAAGTGCACACTCTATAGGCCAAGTATTAACTCAGTTGACAATAGAGTGTTTCCATAAACGTGGAATTAAACAGATCCCATTAGATGCTAATAAGGAGTAAAAAAAAGGTTCAGGGAAAAAGATTGTAAGTAAAAGTATCCTAGTAAGCGTAAGTGAACACTGAGCTCAAATAAAATATATCATGACAATTTCCTGTAACATATTGGAAAGGCTTATATCAAACCTCAAGATTTTCCGAGATAAAGGAAAAGATGCTGATGCAGGTGTCTTCAGGCATCTGAAACATCTCAAGTCTCAAAAGATGCAGCCTCAGTTATTACGCAGAAATAAACAGTTAAACATTATTCACATAAAATTTCCATTAAAAACTTAAGTTATCTAGAAATGATTTTAAATGTACATAAGGATGTCTGAAAGTTAGATTCAAATACTATATTTTATAACTTTTTATATTCATACAGTACATTATATTAAAAGTATTCTGGAACTTATTGTTATAGAATATAGACAGACTACTGCATAAAATCACCATTGTCATCTTAATTAGAAAACACAGATAGCCTCTTTAGGAAAAATATTTTTATTTTGAATAAATTATTCAATCTAAACTATTCATTAAAATATTTACTTGTGAGACCTATAACATTTCACAAAGAAAAGCTACAATTTGGATCAGCAAGATGCTTCAGCAGGTAAGGGCACTAGATCTGAGTTTGACCTCTAGTACCCAGATGGTGGGAAAAAAAAAAAGGCCTTCCATCTGACCTCCATATGGGTGCAACATAGCATCTCCATGTTTGCACACACAGCAATAAATAAATAAATAAATGTGAATCTATTTAAAAATTAAAAGGAGAAACAAAAGCCTGCAAATTTCAAATCATTACTAATATATGCATGCCTTTTAAATTTTTGTCTATGTTTGAAAAAATAAAGGAAGATATTTAAAATGCAAATTTAGTTAGACGAAGCAAGTCTCAAAATATTATATCTGAATTTAGTGTTGGAATATGGCAAGAACATTTTAAATCTTTCCAAAGACTATGGTCTATGTTTCACTTTAGAAAAAAAACAAACTCAGCTGCTGAAAATATATAAAGGATGTTTACTAGATTGGCTTCCATGATACAGTCTAGGCAGTCCAACAATGACTGTCACACATTAAAGATGTTGGGAACCTGGCAGATGGTCAATCCACAAGACACGGGACCTCAGCAGTCCCAATCTGGTGTTTTAAGCCTCGAAGATTCCTGGAGAACTACTGGTATCCACTCCACATTGGCAGCCTGCAGAAGCTGGGTTCTGATGTCTATGTAGGATGGCAGCAGTAGCAGCAGTGTTAACAGCACAGATGAACTTACCAGTGGGGAGCTGAAGGCAAACCGGCAAGCAAAGTTTCCTTCTCCCACATGCTTTTGTTTGTGCTCTCTTGACTTCTACTTCACTTTCTACCTGTGGTTTTTTGCCTTGAGTTCTTGCCCCAGTTTTCCTCACTGATGAAATATTACAGGGAACACTAAGATTAAATGAATCTTCTCTTTCCAAGTTCCTATTTGCTCAGTGTTTTACCACAACAGACAACCAAATTAGGACAATTACATATGTGTTTAAAAGTTGAATGGATAGATGATTGGATTGATGACTTTATAAAGCATGTAAACAAATAATCCAGTTAATAAGGACTGAGTTACAGAAGACAGAGTTTCAAATAATTAAAAACAATGGATTGAAAATAATCTATGCATCTTTCACAGGAAAAAGCTTGATTAAAATTTAAAAAAAAGAAAATAACCTATGCATTTTAATGTGTAGTTTCTTTGTTATATTTCTTATATATTTTTGTTAAATTATCATTATACTTCTGAAATCAAAAGCATATGTATTTATTGGTCTTCACATTATATTGTAATGACTTAATTTTAAATGTCTTAATTTTCTAAGTATTTGAAAATTGTGAGTCGATACACTTAACATTGCTGTTGATTACTGTCACTTTCTGGTTTAACTGTATTTTTTTAGATGATTTTTACTTTTTTAGGAAAAAATGTTACTACACTGATCAGAAGAACAAATCAATGAGCAGGTTAGTGAATGATTTATCATTTTTGTTATCAATTTGTAATTTATAAAAACAAAAAGAACACATATGGTTATCCGTGTCTTCAGTTATAAAATTTAGGAAGAAAATTACGTTGATTTCTTGAAAGAGTATTTTTTTAATTTAACATAAGTTCTTTATTGAATCCTTGGCAATTTCACATCATGCATCCTAATTCTATTCACCTCCCAGTCCTTCAATATTCTCCCTTCACATCTGCTGCATTCTCCCTAAAAGAAAATTAAAGAAAAAAAAACCAATCCAAAACAAAACAAGCAAACAGGAAAAAAAAAGAAAGAAAAGAGCAAAACAAAACAAAAAAGTCTTTCAATCCTCCATTTTTCCACCACTCCAATACTACTTCATTTATACAAGTGGCGTTGGGAGCCTTTGTGTGACACAATTCACCCTTTTGTGCAAGCAGTTTTATTTGGAAATATTCATTGCAAGGAGACATTGGTCTGGCTTAAGGCCTCTGGTTTCTGATACACTATCATCAATGAATCCTCACCACATCCCCTCTCAGATATATCATGTTTGTCCCAAGTCCTGGAACTCCTTTGGTAGCATTTCACAGCACAAGTCTTTTCATGAGTACCAGCAGGTCCTAGATGGGGTAGATGTAATGGTGGGTCAACCCCAAGTCTGGCAGTGGGCTTGGTGGGTAGTTGAGTTGATCATTCCGAGACTGGAACCACCCCCTCTCAGGTAACGGAGGGATCTAGCTCCCCTAAGCCCATGCCTTCAGGGCCAGTTCTCTCTTGTTCATGGTGAACGGTGGGGCCACCTCTCCCGATTGTGGGGCTCCAGTTTTCACTTGAGAGTCAGGGCCAGCTCTCCTGTTGCAGTGTCCACAGAGGATCAGGGCTAGCTTTCCCAGGGCCAGCAAAGAGCAGGACCAGATCATCATGGACATCTGATTTTATTACTCGTCATTCCTATGCCAGCACCCCCCCCCTCCTCCAGTGCCGGGAGCGGTGGGCTGCGGCCCGGCTCCCAGCTAGCTTTACCCAAAATAATTACACAGAAACTGTATTCATTTTAAACACTGCTTGGCCCATTAGTTTCAGCCTCTTATTGGCTAACTCTCACATCTTGATTAAATAATTTCGAATAATCTGTGTAGCACCACGAGGTGGTGGCTTACCGGGAAGGATATTAACCTGTGTCCATCTTGGAGAGAAGAGCTATAGTGTCTAACTCACTTCCCTTCTTCCCAGCATTCTGTTCTGTTTTCCCCGCCTACCTATGTTCTGACCTGTCAGGCCAAGCAGTTTTCTTTATCAATTAACCAATGAAACAACAGATAGATAGAAGACACACCTATATCACCCCCCCCTCCTTTGTGGTAACAGGGCCACACATCAGCACAGACCCCAGCTGCAACAGGATCATGGACACAGACATCATCCTTGGCAGCAGCTTGCGCCTGGACAACATCCTAACTGTGTGGAAGCACAGGTTGTTCGGATCAAACAAGGTCACTGGTTGTGGCCCCAACCCAGGGCTTCCGTGTAACCTTTGGTAGAACACGGGCCTTGAAGTTCAACAGACCCCAGCTGTTGTAGGACTATGCTTCCAGACATGGTGCTTGGCAGCAGCCTGGGTATGGATGTCATTACCCCAGGTGTTAATGCAGGCCACTCAGATCTGCACAGCCCGGAGGCTGCATGACCCTCAGACACTAACTTTGCCCCAGATCTCGGTCATCCACGTAGCCTTCTATACCAACAGGAACCTGTTGCAGACCCTGACTGCAGTAGGGCCATGAACCAGACATGGCCCTGAGCTGCAGCTCTGGCACAGAGGTCATCAGAGCATCACATAGCAACACAGGCAACTCAGCTCTGCATGTCCCTAGCTGCAGCATGGCCCTCAGCCACCAACATGTACTTAGGTGACTAACGTGAGCCAGGCACTCATACAACTTTCGGTGGCAATACAGACCATGGATCATTTCAATATAGACCCTAGCTGCATTAGAACCACTCACCCAGACACAGCCCTTGACAGCAGCCCAGGCCTGAATGACACCATGGTGCCAAACCAGAGCACAGGCCACTTAGACCTGTAATGCCCAGATTGAGGTATGGCCCCAGACTCCAAAAAGACCACAGGTTGAGGCCCAGAACCCTGGCATTTACCTGGCCTTTGATAGTAACAAAGGTCATGAACTTCAACACAGACCTTGGATGCAGTAGGACCATAGTTCCAGACACAGCCCTTTGCAGCATCCTGGACCTGGGTGTCACCATGACCCCAGGCTGTGGTGAAGGCCACCCAGATTGACATGGCCGTAGTGGAAGCATAGCCTGTAGATACCAACATGGCAGCAGCCTAGGCCATGGAAATCTGCATGGCCCTTGTGGAAACAGAAATCACAGACATCAACACAGACCTTGGCTACAGAAGGACCACATATCCAGACATGGTCCCTTGCTGTAGCTCTGGCTTGGATATCACCATGGCACTGGACAGCAATATGTGCCATTTAGGCTTGTGTGGACCCAGATGCCGCACTCGACCTTCAGCACCAAGGTGGTCCCAGGCTGCTGATCAGACCCCAGGTAACTACGTGGGCCGCTGCTGCAACTGGAGCCACACACATCAACTCAGTAGGGACTACAGTAGGGGCACAGACCCAGGCATGCCCCAACATGGGCCTGAACAACACCATGGCTGCTGATGGCACCATAGTCCACCTAGATTAGCAGTGGCTCTATTGGCTGTACTTCTCTTGGACACCTATTTAAATTGAAGAAATGAATTTCCACTTAAGGAATGCCCAATGACAAAACCTTTATATTGATAGCTATTTTCCTATCCATTGCAAAGCTTTCACTTGATGAAAGCAAACCACTGCAACATCAGCATAGCAGTATACTCCATGAGTAAAACTATAGACTAGTCAGAATAACACAAAACACAGAAAAAAAATGGTCTAATATCATTTTAGGAAAGACTTGATGAATGTAACCCTTTCAAACTTTATAAATTGTAATGAGAATATTTTTTAACATAATTTCTATTTTAAATAAAATGTTTTGTTTGAGTCCCTTTTAGCTGTTACAGAACTAATTTTTCAAGTCACTTTTTAATAGATTTATTCTTGAATGACATTTTCAGAGTCTTGCTAAAGAATAAAATTTTGAATATTAAAATCTATAAAAAAGTATTTTACATAAAAATATAGCCTAGATTTAAAGTTAACTTCAATTTCAAGGGAATCATGCACATTAGTGTATAAATTTCTAAATAGACAAATTTTGAAACATATGAACAATTCTAAAATGATCTTATATCTATGATGCTCAACCTTTCAAGTAACTAAAAAATGAACACTGTACCATTTTGTTTTATGATATTTTATGTTTTAATTCTTAAAATTTGAATTTAGGTATTGGGAATATTTTAAAAACTGTTCCTCACATTTAATTTGTTGTAAACAGTTTTCTTTGTTTCTTAGATTCATGGATTTGAGTGGTGAGGGGTAGGTATCAAACAGTAAAGGCATCGAGTGAAAATTAAATTTTTCTCTTGCTTGTTTATGTTTATTTATATATTCACTTGAGAAAAAGATTGATTGTAAATTTTCCTTCAATTTATTTTAGTAGAAAAATGTAAATTCTATTTATGTGAAAGGTAGGCATAAATGGTCATGTCTTACAAAATTTTAAGTACAATATTTACAGTCAGTAAAACTGTACAAAGAATAAAATTTAAATCAAACACGCACATTTATTTTTATTAGTGATTTTCTTTTCTTGCAATAGAAAAGACGTTTGTGTGTGGTTAACTAAGGCTATAAAACATTAAGGGATAAGTAATGTCCAGACAATTATCTAGCTTTGGAGATCATCATATCTCTAGGCACCTTTAGAGGAAATAACTAAAGCACTATTGGTGCAGCAATTTAATTTTATTTACAAAGCACTTTTATGTTCAAATATTAAGACATCATCAAAATAGCCTGCAAGGAAACTAGAACAGAGAGTAGCCAGTGTTGCAGATGAGGAAAAATAACAGACTCTTAGCATTCCCACCCGCAGTCCTACCCAGAGCTTTCCCAGATGGTTGACAGTTTGCATTTTAGTCTGATTCCCTGAGCCCTTTGATCTATATTTTTAGTTTACGCGGAATTATCTTTCCCTGCCTCCAGATTTTAATAAAAGGCACTGAATTGTGTTAAAGTGATCTTCATGTTTTATCAGAAAATTCATCATTTAAAAGATGCCCAAGAAGATAAACATGCTTAGATGTTGGTAATATGATAGTGTTGGTGTCAAGGTTTGTAGCATAAATAGTAACTCAACATTCATTTCTTACCTTATTACCGTGACCATTAGAACAAACCCTACAGGTTTCTAGTGTCTGTTTTGTTCCCAAGATGTCATTTAACTTAATAATAATAAAAAACTAAGTGAGGCACAAGGAAATAAATTAACTAGGCTCTAGAATCTGGTTTCAAATCCAGGACTGATGATATTTCACCATCTGAGACCATTTTTCTTTCTCAGAAAATGTGTATGAAGGCCTAAGATGATAGATAGTAGCATTTATTTTCTGTTATTAATAGAAGATGATCTTAATGTTCTCTCATAAATTTTAGACGTTCACTTGTTCCCAGGTTGCTTTAACTCAGAGATAGATCCTAGGCCATTAGGTGCTGCAGTCCACCTACATTACCCGAAGGTCCTTGGCATTACCCTTTTGGTTTGTTCTGACCCTTTGCTGGATGTAGGACAAATAGGATCACTTCCTCTCTTTAGATCTGAAAACATCAGCTCAAACATGGAACTGTTTTGTCTAGTTTCAGAAACTGGCCATTTCAGCTCTCCTCATCCATCCAATGTGCTGCATTTCAAAAGACTAGAGAGGTTGATCTGTACTCTCATGTCTTCTACATGTCTTTGCATTGGCCTCAGAAAAATCTATTAATTCAGGGGGTTTGTTTATGAGATTGAACAAAATGAACACCTCAAAACTGCTTGTTAGTTTAGATTTAAAATAAATGTTGAAGTCCTTCAAAACCTGAGATGATCAGTATCCCATTGATAATCCTATTTGGTAAGAAATGATCAATATTTTTACTTCCAAAGTTTTCGGCAGGATTTAATTCTTATTTAAAATTTCCCAGGGTAATTTTACCATATCTTAAGAACTAATTCTTAAGATACAGTATTTGTTGCCTGCTCTTTGTTATCTTAATTTTTTTCCTAAACATCAAGAAGCTGACAAAAGCCATGTTAAGATACATTGTATTTGTATCTGGAGATACTCTGTCCTGTAATTTTGACTTCTCTATTGCAGCAGCACAACATAATCACTGTGGAAACACTGCTTGGTATTTTTAAATGAAAACAGCTGTTGTTATAGTAACAAAATTTAGATTTTCAGAATCAATGATGAAGGTCAGTCTTTTGTTTTGCTTTATTTTTTTATTCTGTGAAGGAAAATGATGGACCTTATTCCAATAGGCATATATACACACTCTACATAGAAATTTTCACACTTTTTTTAAAGAACCAGGAAGTAATCTGCATTTACATACTCATACATACAGATATTGTACTGCCTTTGAAAATGTTCCTTCCTGTGGTCATCTTTATGCAAGGTAATTTAAGATATTTTCTACAGACTTATTATTTCTCTGAAAAGAGATTAAATAATGCTGGACTTGTTTTACTATTTATTTCATCTATAGGAAAGCAGAAGCAGATGTGTGTATGGTATATGTGTGTGGATAGTGTATATGAGTGTGTGGTGTAGGTGTTTGTGCGTATGTGTGTGTATATATGTGTGTGCATGCGCATATATGTATGTGTGTATGGTGTGCTTGCGTGTGGTGTATGTATGTATGTGGTGGTTGTGTATGTATCTGTATGTGTATGCATGCATGCATATGTGTATATTATGAGAGACGAAGAGAGAGGGACCTGGAATATTTTTTTCTCTAATACTTAAGAACACTGCCACAGGAAACTAATATAGTTCTGGAATACAACCTTATCTAGTTCTGGGATTCGACTTGGTTGCAGGGTGCAAAATTATTTCAAAAGAATCAAAAAGTGGATGTCCCAGAACCCAATGGTTCTTGACAAGTCAGCGTTTCCAGAGTTGGAGGAGTCGGACTGCTACACTGGCCCTTTCAGCAGAGCCCGGATTCACCAGTGAGTGCTCATCTCTTTTCTGCTATGTTCTGGCTCTGCACGTCCCATTACCTCGAGCTTGTTTATTGAAGAAAAATAACTGAGGATATTCCCACTGGTCACCAACTAGGTCGAGAATGTATCATTGTATTAGAGTTTATATTTAACTTAGGAACAGCACTAAATGAACATTTGATTCTATATTAATTTCATGATTCAGAGATAGTCAAGTGATATTTAAATATCATTCTATAGATTGGTAACCTGGATATTCTTTTCAAGTAATAACTCTGTGGGTGGCAGAGATGGCTTACCCATTCAAAGCATATGTTATTCTCATGGGAGAGTTTCCGGCACAAATGTAGAGGCACACAACAGTAACTCCTGTTACAGGGGATTCACAGCACACATGTGGGGGTGTAACTGTCTGCAACTCCAGCTACACGGATCCACAACATGTACATGGAGACTCAGGATTTCCTGTGGCTCCAGTTACAAAAAATTTAACAACATCTCTGACTCTTTCAGGCATAGGCACATGTGTGGTATAGATATAAACATGCAAAAAAGCACACATACATGTTCAAAATCTTTTAAAAGTTATTATTGGAGAAAATAAGTCATCTAAAATAATTATGGCAACAATAATAGGACTGCTGCTAACAATAACACTAATTAATGAATTATTGAAACTGTAATTTTACTTAAATATACTTTTAGTATTTAAGTGGTTTTGTTTAATCTTATTAAAATACAGTAATTTGTTTAGAGAAGGATACAGGTCTCTTTCTTTTCATTCTCTCTCCCTCTCACTCTCTGCCAAACTTTTTTCCTCCCCCTTGCCTTCCTCCACATCTGTTTGTCTATGCTTTTATCTACTATGACTTATTAAGTTCATGAATTGAATTACAAGGTTCATTACGGCACATGACCTGCCGTCTGTCCTCATGGTACTCCAAGACAAAGGCTATAGACAAGAAGGTAATTGTAAATCTAAAAAAAAGTAAAAAGAGATAGAGAAATGTAAAATATTTACAATATATTGTAGCAAAATATACAATTCAGTATAATACAAAGGCTTGGGAGTCCACAGATGCTATTTTGGATGTCTGAATAAACTTTTTCCTGGGATGTGGCAGTTGATAAAATTCTAGATCAGTCTATACCATAGCCAAATGTCAGTTAGAGTCTCCTCAGAATATTCTACTCACTTTATGATTTAATCCTGGAGGTCCATATAAAGCAATCCATTATTAATCCAGGTCTGGAGAAAGGAAGTCAAGACAGAGCATGAACTCCGTCTAGAAAACTCAGAATCCTGGGACCTTCATCAGCTTTTTATTGTACTATCACAGGATCTTACAGATCTGTGGTTGTACCAAACAAGATGAAACAGAATGTACTTAACTTACTTTGAAAACTCAAGGAACCAGCTGTCTTTAAAGAACACTAATTAAAAACATCTGGCGTATTCCTCCATAATAGTATCCCATTGGTACTCTGTACAGTTAAGTTTGCGATCTTTTTCAGTGTAGGCCATCCTACTTTCAGCCCAGTGTACCACACTCCCACTCCTCAGGCATCCAGCCATTACATAGTGCAGCTACACAGCCCATGGGTCCATGACTCAGCTGCTCTATTAAAGCTCCAGCTGAATCTTTACCACTTTTCTCTTCTGCTGACCTATCCTGCCCCTGAGTTTTACAGGGTGTTTTTCTTCCCACCCGTGTGCCTACATTAAGTATCATTATCTAAGGAAAATCATATCAGAAAATTCTTGCTGCTGTCTCTTCCCCCAGTCACTCACCACATCATTACACTATTATATTTTTCCCAGAAACAGGCTGGAATTTATTTATTAACTTGATTATACCACCTGCTTCATTCTTCCATAATACAATCTCTTCCAAAACTGAACTTATCTCCCTGAGAATCACTTTCTCTGGTAGGCTTAAGTCTTGTGATGAAAAAAGATTGGTGGTTATTCTTTCTGCCTCCTATAGTAGCCAAGACTCTGAATTTAATGTATCTGGATACAGAAATAATACACATAATATTTAATGCTGAGGAACTCCGCATGTAATAATATAGTCAGCTGTGCAGACTGATGTATACAAGGCTGGGTAAAACCTGCCAAGAAGGCAAACTAGGCTATGGGCACTGACACACATGAGCAGGGTCGGAGCAACATGGAGACAATGGTTCAACAGGAAAGTTACTTAGCTTTGTAACTCCTTGAATATGGAGGGTTAGGAGGATGCAACAGATAGAATAACTAATACCACAGATGAAATTTCCGACAAAACAAAAAATGGTTCCTCATTCATAGAGATAAAGTGCGTAGAAGCCGAGAGTGTCACCAATCCAGAAAGATCCAGTTCATTCCACTACTTGGAAACTTTCGGTCCATTCTAATTGAAACATTTAAACAGATCCATCCTCTCATTGTGAAATACTCCTTTGCTTCCCATAACATCCACACTCACAAGGCCCCTTGCTACTGTTTCCACAGAAGGACATTTTAGAGTATGGAGGGAAAAGAAAAAAAGAATTATGGGATATCACTAACTCTGAAAACTGATTAAGATAGAATGGCAAGTATTGCATGGGAAATAATCTCAATTTTTAATTAAATCTATTTGGAGAAACATTGTTTGAGGTGGTACAAACCCCAGCCAGCAAATAGTGAATTTCTTTTTACTCTATGATAAACAAGACATTTGAAAATACCAAGACCTTACAAACTGAATGAAGAAGCTAAAATGAATTTTTGATCATTCTCTGAATTCTCTTTAAGTATTTCTTTTTATCTGTCAGTCTTCTTCTGTCAAAGAGGAGGACTTCTTTCTTATCCTAGAATATTTTCTACTCATTGTCTTTAATTATAGAGACAGATGGTTGGTTACCCAGTGTTGTATGAGGCCACTTATTGGTTCCCACTTGCTCAGCCCCGAAATAACCACACAGAAACTGCATTAATTAGACCACCATTTGGTCCATTTGCTCTAGTTTCTTATTGACTAACTCGTACATCTTAATTTAACTCATTTCTATTAATCTATATATCACCACATGGATGTGATTTACCAGGAAGATTCTGGCATGTCCGTTCCCAGTGGTTCCCTACATAGCTTCCATACATGACTTCTCCTGACTCTGACTTTTTTCTCCAAGCATTCAGTTTACTTTTTCCTTTTTACCTCTATTCTGCCCTGTGCAGGCCTAAGACAGTTTCTTTATTAACCAGTGATGTTTACAGCATACAGAGGTGAATCCCACATTACCTTTCCTTTTCTGTTTAAATACAAAGGATGGTTTTAAATTTAACATAGTAAAATTACATATAACAAAACAGTTATCAAGCAAAAATTACAGTTATAATATTGGTGTCTACTTTATCTTTCTAAAGGAAACTATAATTATATATCCTTCAACTCCATCAAGGACTCCAGAAGGATATAATATTACCTAAGTAAGCAGGATGTACATTGTAAGCAACTTCCAAAACTCTAGAACTGATAGAGACATCTTGCTACCTGAACAGTCACACAAAGTTCTTCTGTACTATTAGAACTTTTTTTCTAGCTTTCTCAGGCCCTCTGTGGATTTATATCCCACTGAGGCCACCAAGAAACTTGTACTACACTGCCCACAAACCCCATTCAAGTGCTCAGCCTCCTAAAAGAGCCAGAGTTTATGATGCCAGAACAGCCCAGGAAACCACCATTTGGAAACCACACAGGTTTTTTTTTCTTTTCTACTGCTGCATCAGAAAAGCCTCTCTTAAAAGAGCTGCAGCATACCACCAGCAAGCAGAGCACATCTGAAAAAAATGCTGCCAAACTTCGTTGTTTAGTGTCTAGAATTCTTTTCCAAGCCCTCTTAGATTTTAACTGGATTTAGTTGCCCCACATTGGGTGCCAATTTCTTGTCTGAGGATGCTTGTTTGTTCCCACCTGCTCAGCTCCAAAATAATCACACAGAAACTGTATTAATTAAATCACTGTTTGGCCCATTTGTTCTAGCTTCTTATTGGCTAACTCCTACATCTTAATCTACCAATTTCTATTATTCTGTGTATCACCACATGATTGTGGCTTACTGGAAAAGTTCTGGCATGTGTGTTCCCAATGGCATCTATATGGCTCCTACTGACTCCACCTTCTTTCTCCTACCATTCAGTTTAGTTTTCCCTGCCTATCTCTATTTTGCTCTGAGCAGACCTAAGAAAGTTTCTTTATTAACCAGTGGTATTTACATAATACAGAGGGGAATCCCACATCAACCCAGGAGCTTACAATTGTGAGTAGATTTTGTGTTCAGTTCTGAATATTAAAACCTATCCCTTCATCTTGACAGCTTTATAATAAACAATAAGGACACCTTCTTCAGCAATGCTACCCGAAGCAGGATAGTTTACCACATGCTGGAGCGCACCAAATATGAAAATGGGATATCAAAAGTGGGTAAGAACATTATTTTATAGACATAGATTAAAATATTAAAAAGTTATATACAGATGTAGAGTTTCATAGCAAATGAAATGTTTCACCTTCACTCACTAACTGTGAATTGCTTAACACAGTAGACACAAATTCTACGGATACTTTGTGTTGCTATTTTTTAAAAGTATTTATTCTGAGGGCATTTGACCAATGTAACATAATGTGAACTATACAAATATATAAGAACAAAATTTATCCTAAACTAATAGATTTTTAATGAAAATATATGTAGAAATGGTTCAACATGGCATTATAATAAAATATTAGAAGTACCAAATATGCCATGTCCACAATTTTATGTACTTGTACCTACTAAAATTATCTGTTTTCTCTTTATCAACACAATTGACAGAGCCTCTATGTGTAAATATATACTCAAATAATTTTATTTCTTATGTGCTGTATGTTGAACAGTTTATGACATAGATTTTATTCTCAGAGATTAATATTAGTTCCTAGATCAAATTGACGATGAAATTTCTTTATGATTCTGTAAATAAAGAAGAGAAGTTTACAAAATTATTAGTTTTGTGTGATTCCAATTTCTTAGTATATAGAGATAAAAATAAATGAAAATCTAGAAGAATATGTATGTAACCTAATGAAAGAATATTTTTGAGCCCCTTACTTTAGCTTTATTTAATTTTGAAATTTTATGCCATTTGATAGGGTTGACAGTTTAGTACATAAATAATATGAAAGAAAATTGAGAATATAATATAATAAAATAAATTGTGAGCCTTACACAGAATTGAAAACAAAACAAAGCTAACACGGAATTGGACCTTTTAATGGTAAGACGTAATTGCAGCAGTGAAGAAATCAATGTTAGCCAAATATTCTAAATTCTCTGGAATTACAAATTGACAACCCATGTAATCTATCACTGTTCTTTCCTGGTTTTGCTAGAATGGAGAATAACAATAAGAAAAAAAAGAATCATGTTTCTTTTTTTTCCTGACTAACAATTTAATTCATTCATGACTGAACAATTAAAACAGTTACCTTAAACACTAATACTTTACCCAAAACAATCAGAATATTTCTAAATAAAGAAAAATTAAAATACCCAGAATATGAGCTGAAAACTTTCCTGTGTGATAGAAAAATTGTACTTACAGGTTTAAATGTCATTTTAAATGAATATAAAGGTATCATATCCTTTGTAGAAAATTTGCTAAACATAGAAGAGCTAAAATAAAATAAATGGACTGCTATCCACAGTGATGAAATTATAGAAAAATGTTAAAACACATTACATCAAAATATGAATGTATTATATGTGTATTTAAAGCAACTATTTTTTCAAGTCATTATGTATTACATAAAAATGATGCTTCAAATTTCTGTACAACAGTCTAAGAATTGTACTCATTAAATTATAGTTGTTTACCAAGCACCTTATGTAATGGTATTTGCACCATGAAAGAGGGTTCCATATTTCAGGTGTACAAATATTTCTTTCATGCATGTTAATAAATAGCACTGTTACTAAAATTCCTCTTCAGAAAGTTTTTCTCACTGCTCATTCTCAAAAGGAAGTCAATGAAATAACAAATCTGAGGGTGACATTTTATGTCATTTCGGTTTAGCATAAACAAACGTTTCTCTGTGCAACAACCTTTATTGTTAAATGTCGGGAGTAGAGAATTCTTCTTTGACTAAACTTTATTGTATTCAGAAGGGGGTAAAAAAGAATTGTTTTCTTGGTTCATGTGATCTCAAGGAGTGGGAATTAACAATGCACCACACATCATGTTGAGATATGGCAAAATGAAACCTTGTGCTGGTGTCTTGAAAATAATGTAGCAAAGACACTCCCGGGCTCAGTACCAATCTCTTTCTCAGGATTACTGTCCCTAGAATTGACCTGATATGGAATTCATTTGTATTGCTGTGTCTTAAAATAATTCTGTGTTCCATGTGTGTTTATATATGCTTTAAGAGAAAGTCTTCATTGAAATTAACTAAGAACTTCATTTTCTTTCTAGGTATCCGTAAGCTCATAAATAATGGCTCATACATAGCTGCATTCCCCCCACACGAGGTATTTATGAAAGATATTTTCCATTCAATATCTATCTCTTGAAAGAACCCTATGTTACTGACAGTAACATCAATTCCATTATAATCATAGATAATCCAGTTACACAAAGGTAAAATGTCAAAGGCAATTATAAGTACAGGAAACCAAAAGTTAATCATCTTCATGAAATGCCCACTTATAAGAAAAAAATTGAGGTAAATAATCATGAGCAAATATTTTTTATATATTTCATGTTTTGAGCCAGTACTTGTTCTACCATGATTGTGACTGCACAGGAGGAAGTAAACATTATTATTTCTTTAGATATAAAGGAACACAGCGAAGAAAAATTAAACACCATTTCAAATACCTCATAGTAAGTGGCAAACAAAAGTGAGCAAAGAAGCGCAGCTAAGGGAGTCATGTAATAGAAAGAGGTTTGATTTATTCGCTTAGGCATGGTAATTTTCTCTGCATAATTAGCTTGTGCATTGACAGCTCACTCGAGTTTCTCATGGGAAATTTGACAGCTGTCATAGATGGATTTTTGATGACAGTCTTCTTAATGTCTTTTTATAAATTATTTGAAATATAAATATATAGCACAAATATGTAAAAGAAATAAAAAGTGTCACTGTTGAACTGTAAATATGAAAAAGATAATCGAGAAACAATGAAATGGAATCAGAAATTGACTATCGATTTGAATTACTATTTACTCATGAGAGAAAAACAAAATTTACAAAGAAGATAAAGTTAATAGTATCAATTTATAGACTGAGAAGGATATTCTAAAATGTATGTCTTTCTTTTTAATTAATGATGGATATTATGTTCACTCTTATATTTCTATTCCTTGTTAAGAGATAGATTTTTTTCTTACAAAATCAATTTATAGACTGAGAAGGATATTCTAAAATGTATGTCTTTCTTTTTAATTAATGATGGATATTATGTTCACTCTTATATTTCTATTCCTTGTTAAGAGATAGATTTTTTTTCTTACAAATTGACAATAGTTAGAAAATGGGCAGGAAAGATAAAAATCAATAGCCCAGAGGTGCACAAGGACAAGAAAACTTTGTCTAAAACTCAAGTCAAATATAGAATTCTCTCAAAGATGAATCATGGAGGAGGGTCAATCAAAGGTGTGGGTAGGGATAGCTGACAGTGTTCGAGCCTTCAAAAGGCTCACAGGTGCATGCGTAGGCTAGAGTCATCTGCTCACCCAGTTCTCCCTTGCAGCCCACCGCTTGTCTCTGTCGAGACAGAGCAGCGTAGCAGTTGGTGTTAAGTGTAGGTTGCACAGAAGTATACTAGGTACCCTGAATTTCAGCATCTAGAAATGTATGTGATCTGACCACTAGAGCTGGACAAATGCCGTGAATTAGGATTATTAGCACTGACTGCAAAGGAGCTGCAATTTTGTTATTCGTCCTTTCAGTATCAGACAGGCAACAATCTGGTTTAAAGAGCAAACACTGTTCCAAATGGATGTCCTGCACTTGAAATCAAGATTGATTTCATCTTCTCTTTAGCTTCCAATGATTAGGATTTAAATGCTTGAACTAGTTTAGGGAGGACACCTAAACTAGCTTGCAATTTGAATGTATAGTATCCTTTCTCTACTTTTTCTATTTTTTTTTAAAGAATCAGTGATGGCATAAACATATGTTATCTCTTTGCAGCTGTAAGACACTGGCAAACTTGAGCTCAAGGTGTCAAGAAAACTTCATAAAGAATCTCATTCCTAGTGCTTAGGGGACCCTCAACCATATAAAGCCCATTTGAAAGAAAATGCTATTTTAAATGCTTACCTTTGAAATATCAAAAGTAAATTTTCAGGATTCTAGGATCTAAACATAAAGGTGGCTCTAAAGGTATAATCCTATGCTGTTTTAATATTTATTCTCTTAGCATCTATAAGTAAAAGAGAACTTTTCTGTGTCTAGCTCACTTTTTAAAGTAGGGATGTATTCAATTTCTCAACTAAAGATTGCAATAATTTTGACATATTTAACTATAAGATCCTGAGCTCCAAACAGTGATATATAAAGTCTCGTTTACTTAAGTAAAATGGGCCCAAATTATTGGAAAAATATTTAATACATTATTTTCATAGAACAATCATATTTCTAATGATATTTACCATTCCAGTGGTGGGCATGAGTATATAATCTCTAATTATTTTACACATTAATAATGTTATGGAAACACTAGTTCTTATTTAGTTAAAACTTCAGTAAGATAATGGACTCCAATTTATGTTATTGCATCTGTCTCAGGGAGCCTATAAGAGCAACCTGCCCATCAAAACCCATGGACCTCAGAACAACAGGCATCTGTTGTATGAGCGCTGGGCACGCTGGGGAATGTGGTACAAACATCAACCTCTGGACTTAATCAGGTACTGTAGATGAACTGCTTTATAATAATAGCAAACTATTCTATTACCATATCCCTAGCCTTGATTACTTATCAAAGCTATTTCAGTTCAGGAATTCTCTGCTGAAAAGAAACCACTACATGAGTTATCAATGAAAGAAACTTAATGCAGGAAATTGGTTATAGAGTGGATATGAAAGCTAATAAAAGAGTCTTTAAGTCATATGCGTCTTATATATTACACACCCAAATTACCAGGTGCTGATGAATACCAGGGGAAGGAAAATGATCCTGGGTTGTTTGTTTGTTCTTCATACCTCCAAGTCTTCTAGTATCTCCTTACCTAACTCCATGATAAGCATTTTACAATGCACCCAGAACAATCAACTATATATTTACAGATCAAAACCAAGAAGCACTCAACAAATATGAGGGCAGATAGGAAAACAACCAACAAATCAACTGTGTGTATGTCATAGTTTATCAGTATTCACAAGGAATTAGTTCCAGAAACTCCTCTCAAGTGGCACACTCCACATTACTTTTATCTACAGATAGTTAAATTTGTAGATGTAAAACTTGCTAATATGCAGGTTTGGCTACAGTTTTCTTCAGAAAAGATTCTCTCTCCTAGTGAGTACCTTCTAGTAATTAGTTGATCTTAACTCGATCTGTCTGTCTATCTATCTATCTATCTGTCTATCTATCTATCTATCTATCTATGCATCTACCTATCTATCTAATGTATATTATATTATATTATACTATAGATATATCTAATATATATATTCTATTTATTTGGGACAGTGTTTTACTATGTATGCCTGTCTATCCTGAAACTTTCTGTATAAGCAAGGTTAGCTTTGAACTGACAGAGATTTTCCTGTTTATGCTGGGATAAAAGGTATACAATACTATGATGGGATTTAGTTTTATTTTTGGAATATTTTTTCCTTTTTATAGGGCACCAGATCTCATTACAGATGGTTGTTAGCCACCATTTGGTTGCTGGGAATTGAACTCAGGACCTCTGGAAGAATAGCCAATGCTCTTAACCACTAAGCCATCTCTCTAGCCCCCATTTTTTTTATTTGTTTGTTTGGTTGGTTTTTCAAGACAATGTTTCTTTGTGTAACAGCTCTAAATGTCATGAAGCTAGCTCTGTAGACTAGGCTGGCCTCGAATTCACAGAGATTCACCTCCGTCTGCCTCCCAAGTGCAGGAATTGGCACGCACAAAGACAGCCCAGCCTTTGAAATATTTACATTTGTGTTTTACATGATTTATTTTAGTACAGAAAACATTGTTCATATAAAAAGCATCAAATACATGTTAATACTATCTTGATTCTCTATCTAAAGATGAATATCTACAGGATAAAAGAAAAAGCATATTTATACTATTAGGCTATATGTGTTGATATTTTTAGCTATTTATAGAATATGAAGAATAGCTCACAACTGCATCAGTCAGTGTGTCAATAGGAAGCAGACCACCTAAGGGGTGCTTGAAGGAAAATCAATAAAAACGTATATACAGAAGTGGTAAATGTGATCATGAAAGCCAACACACAATGACATGCCCAGGGACTAGTAAAACCTAGAAGCGATTATTAAACCTTACTTTAAAGACACAAGAAGAGGAAGTCCTTGTGAGAACCACCTGATGACTAATCATGAAAGGAGGTACCAGATACAAGCTGTGGCCCGAGGAAGAAAGCGGTTGTAGACAAACCATGACCTATGAGAAAGAAAGTCATATACCAGATGTATCTTGTAACCCACAAGCATGTCTGAACGCCAGAAGTTTTAACAAAGAGAGTGGATAAAGGTCCACAGAGGCGAACTTTGTAAGTCACACGGTAGTAAGTGGCACAAGCACTTGGAGAGAAACGGAATGAGTACTCAGCAAATGTTCGTGGTTGGGTATCATCAAGATACTTTGATTCTCCTCCTATCAACCATGACAAATTCCATTATTCTAATTTATGATTATAATTTACATTCCAATTTACATGTAAAAGGAGTATTTTCTCAGAAATTTATGAATACAATATAGTGAGATGTGATAGCTCACGAAAAATATTTATTAGGAGTTAAGATGATAACATTTCAATGTGAGTTACTATTCCTATCTTCAGGCAGCATTGATATTATTGCTTCAAGGAAATAAAGCAAGCATCCTAAGGAGTAAATGGGGTCTCTATTACAAACTTCCAGAATATCCAGCTACTATTGTTTGGTTATTCACAGAGATGGGTGGTTTTCCTGTAAAAGCATGTGTTAGTTAAAGTGACTAAACAACAACGTGTTATGAGAGACCCTACAGAAAAAAAATGTTATACAATAAAGGATTACAGGTGATATTTTGATAGAGAACACTTTTTGGGCACTTAGTTGTAACTAAAACTGAAGCAGTGATGTGGAGGACATTCAGGTTAAACCACATCATATTATTCAGCTATTTTGTACAAGACAAGTTTCCTAGAACTGTTGCAAAAGGGAACGGTGGGCTGAGTTCAATCCCGGCTCCCCAGGTAGTTTACACCCAAAATAATAACACAGAAACTGTTTTCTTTTAAACACTGCCTGGCCCATTAGTTCTAGCCTCTTACTGGCTAACTCTCACATCTTGATTAACCCATTTCTAATTGTCTATGTACCACCACGAAGTGGTGGCTTACCGGGAAGATTCTAACCAAAGTCCATCTTGGGTAGGAGAAGCATGGCGTCTGCCTGACTCTGCTTTCTTTCTCCCAGCATTCTGTTCAGTCTACTCTACCTATCTAAGCTGCTGTCCTATCAAAGGCCAAGGCAGTCTCTTTATTTGACCAATGAAAGTAACACATAGACAGAAGACCCACCTACATCATAGAACTTCTAACTGGTTGTAGTTAAGTTGCTTCCTTTCTATAGTGAGAGTACAATGGCGTGTGACACTTGGGTTCTTTTGATCATAGCTGACGAGATTTCCACAGGTAAATCCAGCATTGTCATCCTCAGTAAGGAAATGCCTTAGTATGATTTATGAGCCAAAAGCTATTAATTCATCTTTGTTTTTTAGTGAACAATGATTTCTGGAGATATATTTATATTGTTTTCCTATTTTAAAATTAGTTCAAATACTTAATAGTTGTGTCTTATTTATTTTCAATCTACTTTCCCACAGAAACGATTTTAAATCCAAAGAAGTAGTTTAAAAAGTCACCAGTATAAAAGCAATGGTATGACATTTCAAACAGTTTTAACAATAGGTATCAAAGGGATTTAAAATTAAAAAACAAAGTTATTGAGGTAATTGACTTTTTCTATAATCATGGACATCAGGGTTTACTTTGAGACAGAAGTTATTTCATCAAGGGACAGATGATTGTCTGAAATGTCACAAGGAGAGCTTTAAATGGAACAGCACAAAGAGAATGGCCTTGGTTGAGCAGTAGTGGGGAATAGCTGCAGTGGTAACCCTTTGTTCCTGTTCTTCTGCAAGATTTGTGTTGTACCTCTAAGGAAAAATTAGGTATTATAGATAGTTGTAAATACCAGTGTTCTAGGACAAGGTCATTTGTGGCCATTTTTCTTTGTCTGCAGTTAGCTTCTCCATCTTCTGACACATACTGAAACCTGATTTGACTTGACTTAGATCATATTTTAGCCTATTAGTATTGCTTATATTAATTTCAACAAAATGCAGGTTATTGTATTAGTGTGCTATGAGTAAGTCAGACTCTGAAACTACCATCCCTGTTAATATAAAGACAACCCACTGTTCACAAGCAGAAAATGAAACTTTATTAATGAAAACTAATAATTGAATTTTCTTCCCAGCAGCAATCACTGTGAAGCATCAATCTTTAACAGCATAGCTGGGGGCAGGGACATGTTAAGGAACCAGTTTTAGAAAGTGGAAACCTCACAGCAGTAAGGAAATCAGAAAATGTAAAATTATTTCTATCAGCCTTTTGTAACTTATGGAACTATAAAAAAACAATATTGGAATGGATGAAGGAAGAACAATTGAGTAGATCTTAGAACTGCCCCATTAATCTGCCACTTTCATATCAACTGAAGACTAATAAAATAAAGTGTATTAATTCCTTTAGCTTCTTTTACTTTTTTAATAGTGACTGCCAGTGAAGCAATGCACAGATCCACCTTCAAGAGGCTTAACTGTTTGGGCAGTATCACAGAATTGAGGTATAAAGGAGAGGTATTATATGGTACAACAACTGAGGACACTAATTAGGGCATGGGTTAGGGCAGCATGGGAAGAAGAGCAAAACACCTAGCAAGGGTTAGGGAATAAGGCTTCCTGGAAGAAATGATATAGAGAAAGGTAAATATCGGTTACAGGAAGAGGGAGTTTGTATTTTAGTTAGAGGACAGTGATAATTGAAGGAAATGTGCTTCCGACAAGCAGAATCAAGCTTTGGTGGAAGAAAATGAGATGGAACCATGCAGACTATAGCATGAGCATGTCTGACCTGGGGTTTAAATAGAGACACTTCCACTCTGAACTGAGAATCCAATCGGATGGCCAACTGATTTTATTCCTTTTTCCTTTTTTATTTATTCTCAGGAAAACACAACTCTATTAGAGACTAAAAGGGTATACTATTAGGAATATAGAGGAAGGCAAGATTGGGTTATGAAAACCATTTTAAGAAAGTTGAACCAGAATCAGGTACTGTTGAAAGTTGGTCTTGTGTTGTCTCTATAGTGACCAAGTTTACAGAAACACATCATGGCCACTGTGACAGTCATTAACAGCCAAGAGGGTCACATACCCTGATATTGCTGACAGGTACATGAGTTAGAGGCCTCAGTTTCCATCTGAAATCATCACAAGTTGTGGTATTGAAGACTGTTGGGCCTTTATACTGCATTAATTCAAACTGAAGATTGACTTTCTTATGCAGGCTATACTTTGGTGAGAAGATCGGTTTGTACTTCGCCTGGCTGGGATGGTATACTGGAATGCTGATTCCTGCAGCAGTGGTTGGCCTGTGTGTCTTCTTCTATGGATTAGTTACAATGAATGAAAGTCAAGTAAGGTGAGCTATGAAGAAAACTGTACAAAGCCTTTGTCCTGGTTTGGGAAATTACAAATTGCTATGGACAGTGGAGGTAAATAATAGAACTTCTGTGTATGTATGTGTGTGTGTGTTGTGTTGTTTTTAGTATAACAGAAGTGCTGCTAAAATGTCATTTTATAGTTTTGCATAAAACTATATAATATTCAAATTCTGTTGAATAGGTTCGAAGAGTTCTTATCTTTTTGCTAAATCGATTTTTCCAGTGTGTATTACATAATCTAAAAATAACAGCAAACTGTGATTTAACAAAAGTCAATCATATATCAAGAATTTATTTAGAGTTTAAAAGTAGAGTGACATAAAATTAGAAACAGAAAAGAATTATTCTTAAAAAGGCACTGTTTTTCATCACAAGTATAACACTGAATTTAACTCTATGTAATCAAGTTCAAAACACAAAAATCCCTTGTTGGGGCTCAGCAGTTATGAGCCTTCCTCTTTGCAGAGGACCTGATTTTGGTTCAATCATCCATAACTCCAGCTCCAGTGGATCTGACACCCTCTTCTAGCCTCTAAAGACACCTACATACACAGGCTACATATGCATACACTTAAACTCACATATATATGCAAAAAATAATTTTTAAAAAAAAGTCTTTAAAAAGAGAGATGCTCTTTATTAAAACTCAGCATTTTGCTCTCCTTTTGTTGGTCTTTTCACAATGACGTGTCTACTAGGAAGTGCATAGTAACAGCTATTGCTGCTATAAAATTATATACAATGTCATAAATATTAGTTTCTCTGTTTTTCTCTTTAAAATATTAAAACATGAATAGCATTTTTGACTAGAAAAAGTATGTGCAATGCACTGGAGTTGAATAACCAAACTCTATGATTTGAAATCTCTGACTTCCTATGTTTTTCAAAACAAGCATTGTAGATCAAAATCATATGATCCAATCACTGGTTCATCTGGTGGTTTTACAGATTCACTCTGACATTGAGAGGCAACATCATCCAATATAAACCTCAGCTTTAAGACCTCCCTCCTCTGCTTCTTTGGGGAATTTTCCTATACACTATTCAATATGTGATCTTCTAGCTCAGAGGAGAGACTAGGATTTACAAGTAAAAGTGTCCTTGTAAGAAAGCTGCTATTTTGCAAGGAATGAGTAAATAGAAGCAAGTTCTTTTCTAATGATAGACAGAAAGTGAGTGGGTCCAAAGGGAAGAGGAGGCATGGAGGGACTGGGAAGAGTAGAGGGAGGGAAACTATAATTGAGATATACTATCTGAGAAAAGAATCTATTTTCAAAAAAACATGGGAAAATGATCACTCAATAGTTATTACTCAGACTCGATCCCTGGAAAACATTCTCAGAATTTCAACACTTCATATAGTTTTACTGTGAGATACAGACACCTCCCTCCATCAAAACAAAAATGAAAATATGCAGAGTAGAAAATGCACAAAAGGCAAGAAATTTACTGTGCCTGTTGATTTTGTACCAGTGAGAGGACTTAGGCTTCTCTTGTGTGTGTATTCCTTAACCTCTAGTACCAGGAATGTTTGAAAAGGCATTAGCAAACTCTTCAACTATGTCCTTTTTGGTATTATATTACCACTACTGCTGTCACACTGTAATTAAGATCTTGTCAGACTTTCTATTCTAAACCAAGATAAGCAACACTGAATATCATGACTTTCAAAATTTTGAGGCGGAAATTTTCCATTCAAGGTGCCAGACGTGGTTAAGCCTGACTGTTATCCTGGTGGGCAGGAAAGGAAGAGGCTGTTTTGTTTTGCACTGATTCATATTGCCATCTTATTAAGCTCTATTTTGTTTGTTACAAAGTAGGGAAATGATGAAAAGCTAGAAATATGGGTCTGTTTATTACGGAACTACAAGATGCTGACAACCAAAATGCAGTCATATTTCTTTTCTATTTGTGTTTTATTTTCTTTTTGTCTTTTTTAAAAAATGAATTTCTTTTCTTACATAATATATCTTGATTATGGTTTCCCCTTCTAGTCCTCCCAATTTCTCTCCACCTCCAGTCCTTCTGCACCAGCCACTTTCTGTCTCTCATTAGAAAATAAACAGGCTTCTAAGGGCTAATACATTTTAATATATTAGAATAATAAAAATAGAACAAAATTAACACATTGGAATAGGATGAAATAAAAACAAACAAACAAGGGATAAAAATGGAAAAGAACCCAAGGCAAAAGACTGACCCTTTTGATCTAGAAAGACTTGCTTTCTTGATGACCTCCATTCCCTCCATCTCAGACAATTTTTCATCTCCTTTCCAGCAGGTTTCTCAAGCCCTGAGGGGAGGGATTTGATGATATATTGTTAGTTCCAAGGTTTTTCAGTCTCTGCATAATGTCTGGCTGTGGGTCTCTGTATTTGTTACTATCTGCTGCAGGAAGAATCCTCTGGCAATGGCTTTGATAATATCTTTGAATATAGCAGAATATCATTGGGAGTCCCTTTATTGCTACGGTTTTTTTTGTTTTTTTTTTAGAACATGAGTGTTTTGTTTATGTCCAGGTTCTTGGACAATCCAAGCTTTGTCAGGTATGGCTTCTATCTCATGGAGTAGCCTTAAGTTGAAACAGCTATTGGCTGGTAACTACCACAAGCTTTGAGCCACCATTGCACTAGCATATCTTGCAGGCAGGGCACCATTGTGTAGCAAAGGCTTTGTGGCTGACTTGGTGTTACTGTTCTCTTTGATAGCATGCAGAGCACCTTTCTTTATCACAGATACGAGAACATAGGACTGAAAGCTCTATCTAAGCACCAGGTCGGCTTCGGGATACTCAGTGAATTGTGTAGGGGTTATGTTCAGCAATGGGATAGGATTTACTGTCAGTTTGTGGAGAACAATATATAGTCTTGGCAACAGCCTGGGTTGTTTAGGGGTTCTAATGGGTCTGTTTTGGCAAAGAACACAATCCCAGTGCTGCAAACCTCATTTGGTGACAAGTTGTCAAGTTGGGCTTCTGTCTCCACATTATTTGATGATTTCATTCAGATTGCTTTCACATATGCATATTTAATGAAGTTTCCACTGTATTAAATTTCCATATTACCCCTCAAATAACCCTTAATTTTAGCTATTCCTCCCTGTATTCCCTTCTTTGTCCCTTTCTTCACTTCCCCCTTGATCCTCCCATTCCAGTCTCTTGCCACCATATATCTATAGTACCTTTCTATTTCTCTTTCTCTGAGGGGAGATCTACCTGTGCACCCATTCCCTTAATCTATATCTAGTTTCTGTTTTTCTACAAGTGATAGCTTGATTATCATTGACTAAACTTATCCACGTGTAAGTGAGAGAATACCACGCTTGTCGTTCTAGGTCTGGATTACTTTACTCAGGATGATTTGTTTCTAGTTCAAACCATTTATCTGTGAATTTCATGATTTCATTTTTTTGTAATAGCTGAGTAATATTCCATTATCTTTTCTTCTGTTGAGGGACACCTACGTTGTTTCTAATTTCTGAATATAATTAATATAGCAGCAATTCGCATGACTGAGTAACTATCTCTGTAGCAGAATAAAGTGTCCTTTGAGTATATGTGCAAGAGGGGAATAGTGGGATCGTGAGGTACATTCCCATCTTTTTGAGGATGCTTGCCCACTATTTCCATAGTGGTTCTACAATTTGTACACTCACCACAAATGGATGAGTGTTCCCATTGTTCCAGATATTCCACGGCATGATTTGTCAATTGTTTTATTCATCTTAACCTTCCTGATAGATTTTAGATGACATCTCAAAGTAGTTTCAATTTTCATTTCCTGTTAGCTAAGGATGTTGAACACACGTAAATGTTTTACAGCTGTCAGCTGATGTTTTCTCCTTGGGCAGCTACATGGCATCTCTTTGACTATGCGTACTTTCTCTCTATGTCTCTTTTCAGATTTCCCACCTGACTTTATTATATTAAGCCACTGGCTGAAACAGCTTCTTTAATAATCAATGGTAATAAAACATACTCATACAGAGGAGAATCCTTCATCACCCCCAATTTGTGATTGGATTGTTTACATTATATCTAATCTCTCTAAGTTATTTATAAATTTTTAAAATATTCCTCTATCAGATGATGAGTTGGTGAAAATATTTTCCTATTCTGTAGCTTGCTGCTTTGTCTGAATGACAAGTGTCCTTTGCCATCCTTCTCAGTTTCACGAGGTTCCATTTCTTAACTGTTTGTCTTAGTTCCTGTGTTAATGGTTCTTTGTTTAGAAAGCCATCTCATATACCAATAAGTTCAAGGCTATTCCCCACTTTCTCTCCTATCTGGTTCAGTGTGTCTGGTTTTGTGTTGAGTGCTTTGATACATTTGAAGGTGAGTTTTGGGAAGGATGATTAGTATAGATATATTTGGAAGATTCAACATACAGCTGTCCCGTATTTCCAGCACCATTTGTTAAAGATGTTGTTCTTTTTCCAAAGTGTGTTTTTGGCCACCTAATTAAAATCAGGTGTCAATAAGTATGTGGATTTATTTCTAGTTTTTCATTGACAAATGTGTCTGGTTTTATGCCAATACCATGCTACTTTTATTTTTATAACTCTGAGTACAAGTTGAGGTCAAAGACAGTGATACCTCAAGTAGTTCAGGATTGTTTTAGCTATCCTATGTGATTTGTGTTTCTATGTGAAGCCAAAAATTGTCATATTAAGATCTGTGAGGAATTATGTTGAAATATTTATAGAAATTGTATTGAATCAGTAGATTTTTGAGGGATAGCCATTTTTACTATATTAATCCTATTGATCCATAATCATAAGAGAGCTTTCCATCTTCTGAAAAAAAGATGTACTGTTTCCCTGATTTCTTTCACAGTCCATTTGTCATTTGTGGATAGGAGAACTACTTATTTTTGCAAGTATTTTATTGAGTATTTTTGCTTCTGTGTTCATGAGAAAAACTGATCTGTAATTCTCTTTGTTGGGTTTTTATGTGATTTGGGTTTCAGGGTTACAATGG